GTGCATTTCCTTCTTCTCAGTGAAAACAAACACCGTGCTGCAAGACTAAAGAGTACATAGTCTCTTAGGTTAGACAATTTCACATGCAAGCTGGAAGTCCTCACATGCTGAAGATTACCAAGGGCATTATTTGTACTAGGAGATGGGTGTTTTTTCCTGTCCTTCCCCTTTTTTCATCTTGTTCTACTTTCATAGTATTTTATCTCATGTCAGAGGCACAAATTACTTTGGTAAATTTAATATTTTTAAAAAGGACATTTAAAAATGTATTCCCCAGGCTGTGTCCTGATGGTTAACCAGACTGCAGGAATAAGAGCCATCAGTCCCATAGTAAGTTGCTGTCAGTCTGTGAAAAACCGCTTTCCAGTCTGCAATGGCCGCAAGCAGAACAGGAAATAGAAACTGGAGAGGCACCCAAGGAGCTGAGCAAGCTCTCCGTTTCTGGTTTATAGTGAGGTTGTTTTGCATTGATGGTCCATAAGAACTGCCCGAACGTGTGCATCAGCTGAATGGGTGTGCCATTAAGTCTGTCATGAGAACTACAACATGCCTGCACGTACACCCGGAACCAGTTTTAAAGTTCACATCATTGCACAGCTGCTTTCCAGTCCCTATCTTCAACACAGTGGAAGCATAATGACCACCACTGTACAGCAAGTATTTCCTTGAAGCTCCCTTCTCACTTGTCTTTGGGACAAACAATAAGCACTAGGATCTGCTGAGTTCAAGCGCAGTGCCTTAAACCTCCCTCCCCAAGCCTTTACAGTTTCATGTGGCCTCTTACCTTAAGATTCCCCTTTGTGGTAAAAGCTCTACCACAGATTGTGCAATCAAACGGTTTTTCACCAGTATGGGAGCGCTCGTGTATCTGCAGGTGCACTCGCTGCGGAGAAGGTCTTCCCGCACCACTGACAGTTGTGCTGCTTGGGAGTCCGGCGAGGGGGGGGTGCCAGCATAGGGGTGATCCCCGGACTCATCACTGTCTGTGGTGCAGCAGGAACCTGGATTCCAGCTGGAAGCGAGGGAACCTCACCCAAAGAGATCGGCTTGCTGTGAGCATTCACTTCCATTTTGATCATGGTAGGTGCTGTACTGGTGACCAGGTTAGGAGTACTTTGGTTGGGACCTAGAGTAAAGTTGGGTTCAAATAACTGAGAAGGCAGTTCTTTTAATTTGTGCGTCAGTAAGTGCTGTTTTAAATTACCCACAGTGGAACACCCACGACTGCAGACTGTACAAACAAATGGACGTTCTTTAGTACGGCTGCAGTAGTGAATTTCCAATGCACTCTTAGAAGCAAAAGGCTTACCACAGATATTACAAACAGTACGTTTAAACTTACCACGTTCTCTGTTCAGGAACAGTCGACTAAAAGGAGCCTCCTCTTTGATGACCGGTCTTCCTGGGTTGGTGGATGTCAGATCTGATGCGCCTCCATTTTCAGTTGTGGGCAGTGGACTGTCTGGTTTTTCTGTCTTTAGTTGTATTTCTTGTGGCTCTTCCTGGTTACTGAGACCAGGGGACTTTGATCTGAAACTTTCACTATTGCTATTTACAGGAGACAAAGCCTGCATGGAGGAAGAAGATCCTGACATTGCAGGGCTGCCTGCACTCTGGCTTTTGAGATCACCAAGGGCAGATGAGGAGTCATTGCTCAAATGGTCACTTTCCCCTGATCCATTTTCTGTGGATTTTAAACTGGTCAGCTGCTGACAGTTCATGACAGAATCAATCATTTTCATTTGATTCTCCAAAGCAGCAATACTAGAGATCACAGAAGGTGGTGAAGAAGGGCATGACCCAGAGTAAGAGATAAGGGGCTTGGATGAGTCACTTGCTGTGTCCTTTAGTTCTGGGTCCTCTTCCATAGAATTTTCATCAATGTCATCATCGAAGTTGCTCAGTGTGTCAACATTCTTTTCATCGTAGGAAAGCTCTGAGTCCATGGCGTCCTGGAAGCCCTCTGGTAGTGGCGTGTTTGGAATTTGCCCACCCATATGCATACGAATGTGCTGCTGAAGAACAACCGCATTTGTAAATTTCTTCTGACAAATGGGACACGAGTGCTGTACTCTAAGTGGTGGCTTCGCTCGATGAACTCCAAAATGTGTTTTTAGATTGCCTTTTGTAGTAAAGGCACGTCCACAAATTTTGCATTTAAATGGTCTTTCTCCTGTATGTGTTCTGTAATGCATCTTGAGAGCACTCTGACAACTAAGCACACGGTGACAAATGACGCATTGATTTGGATCTGTCATCTTCTTATCAATGTTCTCCACTAGCTGTTGTAGTTTTGAGGTTTCTGACGTTTGCATAGAGTCTAGCAGACCACCAAATGGAAACTTTGCCTTAAACTGGTCAGACACTACTGGAAGCACAGGGTTTGGGAGGCTTGTTGCAACGCTGCTGTCTGTAACAGCAGTAGGAATTGAAGACGTGGAAGCTGTAGAAACTTGCCCACCTGCAGAAAGGTCCCCGAGCCGTGTGCTCGTGGGAGGCA